GTTTTATTCATCTCGTGTTTTACTTTTTGTTAAATTCATTTAAAGTAAAGACATTTATTTTGTTTATAAACAAAAATCTCACACAATAAATCTCATAAAAAATGTAACTTGCCTCACTTCAAGTACAAGCTTTGAATATAGGTTTACAGAATTTACATTTTAATTACTGGTATATTAAATGGAGATCTTGTTCACTGTGTGAATGCTGTCTGTGAGCCACGTGTGCAGAACAAGCTCATATCAGACCTGCAGTGTTCTCTTTGAGAAAAGTAAATAATCGAGCTCAGCATGTCCAGCATGTGAAGTTAGTATATGGAACGCAAAAGTGGTGCTGTAGATAACAGGCACAATACTCAAACACAGCAGCTGAATGAAGTTCTGTAGTTTATTTCTGGCTAAAGGTAAGACTGTGAGAATCCCAAAAGTAAAATAAACATATGTTGTGTTGTAGTGTTAAAATCAACATGACAAGTGGAATTTATTTTGATGCCTTAAAAATCGTACCCCACACTATCGTTCATCTCCATTAAACCACATCCTTTTCTGCGGCAACACTTAACGTGCAATACCTGCACTAAAGATAGAGAGTTGTAATAGCACCTCTGCAGGGCGTCATGAATATTTATCAAAGGGTTAATGTATAATTCTGGTGTGTGGCTTCGGGGTTGATATTGTAGCTTTTAACAGTGATCCTCATCTATAGCAATAAATATCCTGTAACCTGCGACGTACAGGATCCCTTTTCTGTTCCCTTTTCTCTAGATGTTCACCTGCATTGTCGTAGCTTTAGCTCAGCTGTCTTTCCTAATGGCTCACAGGTCTGTGAACCTGTCAAAACAACAATAGATTAACAGCTGACTGCATTTTCACCACAGTCATCAACAGTGAACTACAATTTATGTATAGATAAATTGCAACAACTCAATTTTTCTACTTATTTAAAATGACACATTCACAAAAAATCTGACATTCATGTATCCATAATATTTAGTAAGAGTGACTGATTGTTTCTAGGTTAAGTGAGAAAATATGTAAACATATTAATGTCTAAACGTAAAGATATTAAATGACTGAGTAAGTCAAGTGCCAAATCTTAATGTTGAAAAAAGAAAACTGTCAGGGTCCGATCCCTGAGCAGTTATGGACTTGTCATATTATATGTATTTTTGGTGTTGCTGCCCCTCATCTCCATGTTTGTAGATATGAGTGTGTGTGTGGGTGTGTGTATGGGTGCAGGTGTGTCTGAACTCTTGTTTACAGGCGCCTTCAGGCCTGGTGGGTGTGGCCCTGCTAGGGGACTGACCACACCCGAAGCCACACACCTGCTGCTGATCAGGGCTCGTCGGGGGAGCTACTTGGGAGAGTTTTGGAACTCCCACCGACGCGGGATCATTGCGTTAGACTCCCAAGTCAGTGTGCGTTTAGGAGGTGCAGATTGTGTGTGCCCGCGGAGGTCAGTGTTTAACGGCTGCCTCTATTGTTTTCCTACAGGAGGAACATGGAGAGGAAGGACAGCACGCACAGGGTGTGCAGAGTCACGACAGCGGGGAGCACGAACACGGACGCCACTGGATATAAATCACACTACATATATAGGAGAAAAGTAGCCTATTATTATTACACGAACATAATAATAATAA